CTGAGCGCTTACTACCCTGGGTGTCTCCCTCCCAACCCACAGGCAGCAAACCCACGTCTGGGCAAGGAGATCACGGAAGACCACAGTGGGGACAAGAACAGCCAACAACGAGAGAGGCGCTGCGGTGGGTGGGACTAAGGGGCACAGCTAAGCCGCACCTTCAGAAAGTCCAGAAAGTCACAGCACGAAGAATCGACATGAGTTTCTTTGTATTTTATATCTTTAAAGTCGTTCATGAGTCAAGAAATAAACCTCCTCTATCAAGGAAGGAAAAGCGATTCCTGTCCTCACGGTAATGACTTCTCTCCATATTTTAACATGTGGTCCTTCTCAGGTGAAAGCTGTTTGTAGTCAATTTGAATTTGCAGGGAAGGTGTTTGGAAAAACCAAGATGCAGCGAGCATGAATTACTTTGCCTCTCAGCAGACAGGATGCCAGCCCCTCTGGTGCAGCAGGAAAAGGAGGGAGAGGGCGGGGGATGACACAGCCACGGCCTGGCCAGGACACAGGCGCCCACTGTCCCAAAGCACAGCGTCCCACACACCAAGCACCGAGTCGGGATGAGACAAGGCCGGCCCTGGGAAGGGGCCAAGCCCAGGGCAAGTCGCGGCAGGAAGAGACGGCAGATGAGGCAGGGCCCCCAGGGAGGGGTTGCAGCTCGGCCCCAGGGGCACAGGAGCGCAGTGCTTCTTGGTGGGGAGGCGCTCCGGCGTGGTAACACAGCTCCCGTGGGCAATCCTCGGGAGGGAGGCGTGAGCCCCGCAGCAGCAAACCCTCTCTATTAAGGATGCGGCCGCCATCTCTCATCTGTGTCGGCGCGTCGGCCTCAGGACCGAGCAGCAACACGGCTGACCAGGACTCTCCCCGGCCGGCCGGTGCAACATCTGGCCCCTCTCCCTTTTCTCTCCCTGTCCTTCCTGACGCTCCTCTACGTCAGGGCCTGTAGCAGGGGTCTGCTCCTTCTCACTGCTGAGCTACAAGCACTCTGTCGCGTGGAGGGGCCACATCTCGCTGGTCCG